TCTCGGACTGGTCCGATTCATGTCCAAGCCACACACACCTTCTCTTGTCGCAGACCGTTGCAACGTTTGCCAGTCGTCGTAGTTGGTAGCTGTAGGTAGTGTCCTACTAAGTATCCACGACTCCTAGCAGAGCGCTGGTCTCGGGAGGCGACCGCCGAGCCGTACCTGACAACTTGGCGCCTACTAGCATTTCTCTCCTCTATCTCTTGCTTCTCTCCACGCACCCTCCTACTTTGCCATCGCCGTTCTTCCCCCCGTCGGCCTCAAGAACAGAAACCAGCCTGCTCACTACCACCTCCCTTCACACAACATCCCCAATTTCGTCCACCATCATCCCTACCCCATCGCCCCACCACCCTTCGACCCCCGTCTCATCCTCGACCCTGCTGACCTGCATCCCAGCACTCATCCCTGCGGGCATGTACCCATCCCAGGTCGATATCCGCACTTTCTACTCTTACACCCGCAACGAGCACCGCAAGTGCACCACTCACGCTCAACTTAATACCCTCTAGGGCGTTCACAAGTATGACACAAAGCCCAATGCGGCCCTCCGCAAGCAGCTCGTCGCCGAGCTCGATATGACTCCTCGTGGTGTCCAGGTGCGTCCCTCCCCATCTCGTCCCCTTGGCGTCCCATCCGCCGATCAACAATTTGACGTGTCACACCCTCCATTCTTCAATGCGACAAGTGAGTCCGCCTGCCACATTCCCGTGGATCTCACTGATGACATGCTTCTCGTGTGTGTGTGTCGCAGCGTGAACGGATCGACGATGGAGATCGCGCTCAGCTCGATGCGCTGCTCGATCGTGTGCGACGTCTCCACCGGCTCGACCGCGTCTTCCATCGATCCTAGCAGTGGCGCTGGAATCCCGCAGGCTGCGCAGCGCCTCTCAGTCGACTCGGCGCGGCCTTCGTCAATCCTCTCCAGCGGCTCCTCGCTCCGGCCCCCATCCACCATCTCGGGCATCTCTGTCGACTCGACGCAGTGCTCCGCACGCTCGTCGAGTAGCTCGGTCGTCTCC